CACCCCCCCCTCCCCCCCAAAATCCCCCAGCAAGCTGGCTCCCCTTCAGAGACTCCTTCCCCCACGTCCCCTCGGGCAAAGGGCCACCACCGCTGGTGTCCAGTGCAGCCGGCCAGGGGTCCCCAAGCTGCAGGGGGGTGGAAAACAAAAAGACTCCCTTGCTCTACGTGGAGGAAGGCGCTAGGGAACGGCTCCGAATCCTGCTAATGGATGCGGGTCAGCTCCTCCACAATCTTTATCAGGTCGTCTACGGTGGCCTCCCTCTTCATGCCGCTGCCGTCATCGATCTGCAAGGAGAGGGAACGGCGTCAGGGCACGGGGACATCGGCAGGCGCTGAAGAACGCTCCCAGACCATCGCGCGTTTGGGATTTACTGCAGCCTGGATTCCTCGAGCAGGGTCCCCACTGCTGATGTTGAAGGGCCTCAGCTCGCATCACCCGTCTCACCTGCAAGTTTGCCACCACCTCCTGCATCTTGGGCCTGCTGATGTCCAGGAAGCTTTCGATCAGGTCACCGTCAATGAACCCCGTAGCCGGTTCTGTCTTGCGTTCGGTGTGAAACGATCTCCAGGTGCCACCGTCAAGGAGCCGAACCCGCACGGAGTAACACCAGCCCCGGGCTACGGGTGCGCACAGCAGCTGGGCCAGACAGACTGACGATGCTGCGTCAGGAGGATCACAGAATTTGTGCCGCATTTTTAGGGCTACCGCAAAGCCAGATTCGTCCTCAAACCCTGCAAGATAGACTCCTCTCTACCGCAGGCGCCTTTCTCTTCGAGCACAGAGCCCTGGGCACCCGGCAAACGCGCTACCACCCTCTCCAGCTGATGTACGCTCCCACCGGAGCGTCCCAACCTCCAACACCCCACCCCGCGCCTGGCTCAGGCCAGATTCACAAGCCAGCCCCCAGCATTGACCGGCACACGGGCTCCTGACCGAACTGCGAAAGGATATAAGGAGTGCTCAATCTTGCCCACGCTCTTGATGACTTTATTCAGCCTGTTCTGCATGTCCAGGAGGAGGTTGTACCAGCTCTCCGACAGCGAGGTCACCAGTCCTGCAAAGGGCAAAAAAAAAACCGGAGACGAAGGTTCAGAGCTCAGCCCAGGGCGTCCCGGCAGCTCCCAGCAGGCAGGGATCGGCAGGCTGCCGGGACTGGAGTCGTGCTGGAAGCCGATGCCTGGGAGGGCTTGGGACAAGGAAGGAGTTTTAAAGAAAGCCGGGGCACTTTCCTCTCCCGGAAGCAATCCGGAGAGAAAAGCAGGTTGCTGAGGGTAGTACGGCGCAGACCGTCACTCGACTGGGGAACAGAGAAGAACGGAGACGTGAGGAAACCCCAGCCCAGGTTCAGCAGCAGGGAAGGGAACCTGTTACCCTCCCGCTCAGGCTGGGGAACCCTGACCCTTACCAATCATGCCGTTGACCGTGCCGAAGAGAACCGAGCCCTGCGTTGGCGTGGACGTCTCACCCAGGTTCTGCATGACCAGAGACCCATGACAGAAGACATTGACGAACTCTCCGAGGTGGGACAGCCCCACCTCCTGCAAGTGCTGGCGCTCCTCGTCGGTCGTGGCCGCACTGAAATCCAAAGCACCCTGCTCAGCCTGTGCTGGGGCGACATGAAAGCTTCCCCTGCTCCCACCTCGCTGCTCCTCAGAGCTGGGCACGCTCCTCCCAGCTTTCCTGCCTGACACACGTGCCTCTGTAGCCGTAACGTGGAGGAGACCAGAAGGTCCCATCACCCCATCCCTCCCGTGACACATTGCCACATCCCCCTCACAGCCAGCTCACCTGTCCTTCTGGCACACAAACAAATTGAAAGCGTTCTCCGCTCCCAAGAAGTTGTCGTCGTCCAGGATCTCCACGGCACTCATCCAGTTCGGATTAAAGTCCCGGGCAATCTGGAAGGGAACGAGGGGAGAGGCAGCGTGCACAGATGGCCGGTCCTGTGATCCAGCATCTTCATTCCACCCAACACCAACGTTCAGGAGCAAGGTGGGATCCAGTCTGTCCCTCTCTGCTGGATGAAGCAGCTGAGCGCGAAAGGTGCCAAGCACCTTCCGGAGGTGGCCCTGGCCCGAGTGGCACTCGGACAATGCCGGGGCACTCCCTGGGGCAAACGCAGACCGGCCCGTGCCCAAGCCGTGCCCAGAGCCATTCTGACAATTTAAGCGCACAGGCTGTCTCAGGGCCCGGTCCGTCCCCCAGCTACGCTGCATTTGCCGACAGAGACGCAGCTACAGTCGCACCAAGCCATTCCAACCGTACAACAGGCGGTCCAGATGGCAGCTCCCCACCCCTGGCAGGCAGCAATCATGCACCCAAAGCCTGCTCTTCTCAAGGCTGCTGATTCATTGCCCAGTTTCCTGGAAGCCCGGGGATCCGTCCCTCCAGAAACCGCGGGGATCCGTCTAAAAGCACGCGCAGGTGACGCTGCTCTCCTTGCACAGCCCTACAGCCTTGTCTTCAAAGGGCTAGCAAGGCGGGGTGGGCCAGGCTCCTTCTTTTATCACCTTAAACACTGTTCCCCCTGCCCAGAGCCTGTTGGAAGAGGCAGCACGGGCTTCCAGCACGCCTTCGACCAAGACTATTTAACAGCATTGATACCTCCTCAAAGTTTCCTTCCATGGGCTTGTATGCAAGGAGGAGGACAGACCGCATCAGATCTCCCACAAGGATGAAGTCTCCCTTGGTCTTCAGGTAGAGCGCCATGATGTTGTTGTAATGGTTGCACTCCGTGCGCAGCTCTTTCTCCGCTGTCCACTCATACAGGCGCACCTGAAGGAAGGGACACGGCTCTGAGCCGGCGTGGACGCCCGCGCCAGCCAAGGCACACTCCCCAACAGAGCCAAGACACACTCCCCAACAGAGATCGGGGACCCGGCTGACATCCGCAGAGCTGGAGCGGCTTCCAGCTCTGAAACGCACTCCTAAAACAAGTCAGGGTCTTGCGAGAGCCCTACCGTGCTGTTGATGCTGGCTAACAGCTTCCCGTTGAACTCCACCATGGAATACACAGCCCCCTTGACCTCCTTCTCAGCCAGGCTCTGCAGCTTCCCTGGAACAAACCCATGCACCGCCCGGTTATTTGCCCTGCACTCCCAAGGGTGGCAAGCCCAGGGGGTTCAGACGAGCTGCTCTAAACATTGCTCTCCCTAGAAACTGTCTCAGAGGATCTGCGGGCAAGTAATGCAGGAGTGACGTGGCAGCGGGGGCAGACACGGAAAGCAAATCCCAGAATCCAGTTCCAGTGAGGGATTCTTGGGCTTCTCGGGGAGATGGGAGGGAAAAGGGAACACGCCGTCATGGCCTGCAGCGGAGTGACAGCACCTACGGATCCTGTCTGCGGGCAGCCGACAGCAGGCCCCTCAGGAAAAACCTCTCTGCCTGCTACGGGGACGTGAGCTCTCCCGAGCCTGAGGAGCTCATCTCTGATCTCCCTCAAGCAGCTGGACTTGGCCACGCGAGAAGACCTTGCTCTTACCGTCACAGTAGTGGAAGACAACGATGCGGCCCTGTTTGGGCTCTGCCTCCTCGGGATATACCATGGCGGTGCCCACGATGAAGTAGGTGTTCGGATCCTTGCCAAGCTTGCAGGAGACCAGGCTGAGGGCGTACTCGTTTTGCAGAAACTGGTGAGCATGAAGCACTGTGCAAAGAGGGAAAAGCAGAAACAGCTGGGTCCCCCGGGTCCCGGCAGGCAGCACCTCCACGCGTGGGCAGAGCGGCTCGCCTAGGAGCAGCTGAAAACTTAAGACACGTCCGAGATGGCTGCCTGGAGATCCCCTCTCCTATTCCCCACCACCACCTTGTGCCATCAAAAAAAACCCAACCCACCCCACTATGCCCTGTGGCTGACGCTCCTCCAGGAAAAATGCTTTGACCGAAGGAAACGTGCGAGATCACAGATCTTCACAAGTCTGTGAAGATCACAAGTCTCAGCCGCACGCTGATGGGCTCGTCCTGGAGGAGAAAACTGGCCTAGGGTATGGCCAGCATTCGGGACTGGTACCTTCGAAGGTGTGCTGGTCTATGATGAGCAGGTTGTGCACCTCCACCTCCTCTCCGAAGGATGTCTCGTGTGGCGCTGTGCTGCTAGAGAACAGCTTGCTGGTGCTCACGCTGCTGGACAGGGCCTAGGACACAGTAATATCGGTCACATCCTTGTGCTACTCGGCACGTCCTCACGCTGCTCCACGCGGGCTGAGGCAACCGGGAACCAGAAGAACGAACGGGAGAGAAGGTGAAACAAGGAGCCCACTGGACCTGGGTAAAGGGACACGCTCCCTGCACCAGCAGAGATGTGTGACACGCACGGCAGAGGTAGCACTGCCGAGCAACAGCGTTAATAGAAGAGTTTATGCAGTGTTGTGGCTTCCACCAGAGCTACTGCCTGAAGGGGACTTGTGCCTGCGTCCCCGGGAGAAGGAAACCGTTTGAGACCAAACAGAAACCTGTACGGGAGACTGAAGGAGCAGCAGCACCCAAACCCAAAGGTGATCTGACAGAACAGTGAGCATGCCAAGGCTGCCAGAGAGCAGCACAGAGAGCCCTTCTCACCACCACGGGGAGATCTTACCACCCCATCTCCGCCCAGGCTGCCAAAGGGAGAGCTCGCACTCAGAGCTTTGGAAGAGAAGATTGTCAAGGAAAATCCGCATCACGGTTTGGCCTGAGGAACTGCGATACCCATAGCCCAGAGCTCAGGGACGATCTAGCAGCTACCCCTCACCTGGGTGCTGGCGCTGGGTCTGAGCGCAGTGGTGCCCCCACTGGCATCCTGCACCTCGATACGACTTGAGAGCACGCCGAAACACTGCGATACCTCTTGGTAGCAGATCTTCCTGCGGGACAAAGAGAGCTGTGTGGGCAGGAGAGCCAGGACAGGCCACTCCAAGGAGAGCACAGAGGCTCTGGAGACAAGAGGCAGAGCTGCTCACTTGCCCAGCCTGCTCTCAGCACAAGCCACCAATTCAGTCTGCGTGCTAACTGAGCCCCCAGCAGGAACGCTGACTGCGAAGTCTCCCCCCCAACCTTGTCCCATGCAGCAGAGCACGGGCCCTCAAGCCAGGCTCCCTCCCGCTGCTCAGCTCACCTGGGCGATTCATAGAGGGGAACCGTGCGGATGTGCAGCTTCTGGATCTCGTCGATGGTGCCGATTGTCAGGGTGCTGTTATTGGCCAACGCCAAGCTGTATGGGGGGAAAAAAAAAACACAACCACCAAACTCCATGAGCAATGGCGCTTATAAGGTGAGTGGCACAGCAAGAACCTCCCTCTCCTCCGCGCCCCTCAAAACTGCCGATCCCAGGATCCCCTCTGCCGATCCCAGGATCCCATTGCAGAGTCCAGACCCCCCCCACCCCGTGTCACACAAGGCAAGGTGCAGGCTCACCTGTCAGGATACCCATCCGAGTTGAGGGGACACATGTAGTTCACCTCCTTCAGGTTGACATTGGAGAAGACCAGCTTGTGGTTACTGCTGTAGATGACGGTGGGGCGGTCAGAGCAGGCGAACACGTTGGTGGTGGAGAGAGAGCGGAAAGTCCTCAGGACGGTGGGCTGGGTCCCAAGGGTCACCTTCTTCCGGTCACTCAGCAAGCCTGCAGAAAAGGAGCACCGGTGTGTTGGGAGCCGCCGCAACGGAGCTCGCAAGAGCAGGACGGCAGAGTGCACCACGGCCGCAACACCTTGGGAAGAAACGAGCACGGGTAAACGCATCCTGCTGTCAGCACAGGGCAGCAAAGGAACGGACGTAAGCATCAATCTCCCTTCTCCGGAGCCCACTGGAGAAATCCACCAACTCCCAGTGCCCACAGCCAGTCCCACCTGAGCACGACCCCGTCGCAGTGAGAAAGCAAGGAAGAGAAAGATCTCTCCAGAAGGATGAAAGAAAGCACGTCAGGCAAGTCAGAGGGCACGAGTCCAGCCGCCCTCTCCAGCAGCCCGCTCAGTGCTAGTGCCTGTAGTCACCTGTCTCGAGGCTGAGCCCGAAGTAGAAGAGAGCTCCATCCCCCAGGGCACACAGAAGGTAATGGCTGCTCTCGAAGGTCGTCATCAGGATGGAGCGAGGGATGATTTCTGCAGGGAGCAGGAGAAGAGAAGGCTGATGTCACTCACAACTCAGCCAGGTCAGCGACCGCTGCCACCACCCGGCAGCCCCAGGAGAGCCCCACCTCCTCCCAGCATCTCTTTGTGCAGCAGTTCAAACGAAGGCAGCTTTAGGATGCGGGCGGAGATGTCAGTCCAGAGCCCAATCGCACACAGCGGGGACCTGCCGTTAGTGTCCCCCAAAGGGGTGATGTCCAGGCAGGCAACTTCATGCTCCATTTCTGTGCAGCTGGCAGGAAGGAGGAAGCAGACAGAGGTGTCAGTCTTGAGCCCAAAGACAGACAGCAGAGGCTGAGAGCCCTCGGGCCAGGACGAGACACACGCACCCACCTGATCTGCCTGAGCTCCTGGGGTCGGATCTCCAGGTAGTACAGGGCTCGTCCCACAGCCACCACTACCTGGTTACTGTTACAGGAAGCCACGCTGATGTTCTTTCCGTTGGGCTCTTTCCACTCGCTCACCAGGGCTTTGGGGTCCTGACTAACCAGTCTCACAGAGGCAGAGGTGATCTGGGGGCGGGGGGGGGGAAGAGAGAGAGAGAGAACACCTCTGCTCAGAGCCATCTGACATGCTCCCTTCTGACATCGGTGCAGGAAAGTACTGCAAACCCTGCCCCTGATGAGCAGCACAGATCTAGGTTAGCCCCATGATCAATAAGGGCTGTAGGGTCACCGTGAGAGAGACATCTGCATTTCCCTAGAAGTGGCATTACCTGGATCAATTGCTGATGTGCCACATTGCCACAGAAGAAAGTCTGCTGATCATCAACAAACCCCGTGAGCTCCGTCTCTTCTACTTCCTCTCCATTTAACATAAGAACCCTGAACAGAAAAGGGAACTCCTGTTATATCATGCTCCAACATGTGGCTAAGAGCCTGGCTCAACGTTAACCCCACCTTACCTGGTCTGGCCAACAAAGGACAGCACCAACGTATTGTCCGTTTCACGATGAGAGTCCGACCTCAGGGGCCACAAGCCTGCAACAAAGAGAGGCCACGTTTGCTCGCAGTGAATATTCCACAAGCTGGTGGGTGGCAAGCCCCCTGCCCCACACCCCAACCTCAGCCTGCGCACACGGCGTGTCCCCCACTGGGCCCTCGCAGGCTGCGGGTTGTATCCGACAGCACCGAACAGCTCACGCACCTTTAATCCCCGGCAAGTCAATGCTGGCGTGCTCATGAATCCCAATGCCGTTCCGGATGATCCGCAGCGAACCCTCTTTAAAAGCACCCGAGCATGTGACCAGCTGGAGGAAAAGCAGATGATCTTTACCAACCATTGCTGGGAAGCTTCCCTACTCCTCCTTGCAGCGACGGGTTCAGGGGAAGATGGGGTACCCATCTCCTCCACTTCTCGGAGGAAGTTTTTTGGTAGCTGATCCTTCCCCATTGCACGAAGGCAACCCCTTCCTCATGAAAAGGGGTATCCAAGAATTAGCCTCCCTACTCATACCACTCTTCAGTGTAAGACCTCAATACCATCCCTGCACCTGGACAAGACTTCGACATCCTCCAATAAATGGTTTGTAGACTTTTCCTTCCACGGACAACCCACGCATACATCTGGCCGGCCCAGACATCCCCAGCACCGAGAAAAGAAAAGCAGAATCGACGTTACCTGCCCTTGGCCTTGTCTTTCCAGGTCTACCACGCACATGTCGACGATGGGACCGAGGTTGGTGAAGGTCTCCATAGCCACTACATAGGAGCCCTGCTCGTTGCTGTCCACGTTGAGCTACGAATAGACACAAACAGCGGCTTTCAACAAGCAAGACCAAGCAAGTGGAAAGGGTGTGGGGCAGACAAGGAGAAGAAAGGGAAAAAAAAGTTATCCACATACACCTCTCAAGGCGACGATGAAAATAAATATGTACAAAATCCCGTCTGAACACACAACTAAGCCAGAAGACAGCTGCCATGTACCTTCACAAGCTGGGAATCCCCAAGCCGAGAACCGACAAACACAACTCCGTTGTCCAGGTAGAAAAGTTATCATACACCTCTCAAGGCGACGATGAAAATAAATATGTACAAAATCCCGTCTGAACACACAACTAAGCCAGAAGACAGCTGCCATGTACCTTCACAAGCTGGGAATCCCCAAGCCGAGAACCGACAAACACAACTCCGTTGTCCAGGTAGGTCAAGCACTCCGCAATGGATGTCTGGGAATTGAGAAGACGCGGATGAACCGCCACTAGCATGAAAAGGACCCTGCCACAGCCCGCAAGCAATACATCTGAGCTGCGGCCCAACAGGAAGACCCGGGGCGCAGGAGGGGAATTTAATCCCTTTACAAAACCCACAGAGAGTCCAAACTTCTCCCAGGAACAGCGCACAAGCACTAGGCAAAAACCTGGGAAGATGGTGTAAACTTTCAAGTGCCCAGCTCGGGAATTTCCCAGCAACCAACAGTTTCAGAGCTGTAACAACTGTGAAACTTCACCCCACCCCGGCCTTCCAAAAGGAGACACCGTTCCTACCGCTCAGTCCTCAGCGGAGCATTTCCAGGCTGCAGAGCCTCCCAGCCCCGCGGTGAGGAGCGACAGGGACAGCGCACGCGATGTGGCCGAGTCCTACCTCGCCGAGCAGTTCCACGCGCAGGTCCTTCAAGGTGACAGTGCCGTCCATCTGTTCCTCCTTCTCCAGGAGCAGCATGAAGAGGCGTCCTTCCATGTCCCCCAGCAAGTAACGGGACCCATTGGGATCCACACGGTTGTGGCACACAATCGTACTTTGCTGCACGCAAAGGAGGGGGGGGGAATTTTTAAGAACCCGTTGAAACGGCCCCAAACAGGCATCTAGCAAGGACCACCGCTGTACACGCCAGAAGGGAACAACCACATCCACGGTGCACCAGCTGCTGGCCGTAACCCCAGCAGGGTCCCGCTCCTCCTGCCCGGAGGGAGAAGGCTGGATTCGCCCTTCAATAAACCGTATCAGCGAACACAACCAGAATCTGTGGTCAAACGGTCTCGCTTTCGGTCACTAGGAACTACCTCACGTTCCTAAATTAAACATGTCGCTAGCTCGTTCACAGCCCAGGAAAGATGCCATCAGAAAGGCTGTTTTCCTAACGCTGGGCCTTCCACAGATGCAGGGATGCTCTTTGGGACCTGCAGAGCTCTAAGCCTGCTGCATCTCCGGACCCAAGCTCTGCAGACGTTTTGCTCTGTTGGTGGATGCTGCCTGGCCTCCTGTCAACGTATTTGGCTCTGGTTTAAAAACCCCGATCTTGCGGATCTTCACTGTATGCAGACATCCCACTGGCCTCGAGTACAGATGTGCCTGCACTCTGCTTGCAGGTCAAGGCCCAGATCTGTATGTCAGCAGAGCACAGGCGACTCGCTCCGCCTGCTCCAATATAACAGACTCTCCATCAGAGCCTCAGCAGCGGTCCGAGAGCCTGTAGGCATTCAGGCAACAATATTAGTATTTCTTTACCCAAGATTTATAGCTCTTTTCTAGCCCGTCATTATTTCCAGCTTAAAAGGACCTTCTGATCACAGCTCAAGCCCTCTTTCAGCCCCGAGCAGCACCTCAGCCGTGCCATTTGTGCTTCCTGCACGATTTAAATGTGGGAACTGGCCCGTCCCTCTGACAAAAACCACGAGCTCAACTTCTGTCACAAACTCTGTAAGTCTTTTTTCCTTTGAACAAGTGCCCCAATCATACACCGGTGGACTCAAGTCTCCAAAGGGCTCATTCATATCTTTTGCTGCCTGAACTGAAACCAGGCTCTGGCCTGGTCCCATGCCCAAACCACGCACTACCTCCTAATTAATCCCCTTCTCTGGGGCCCAAACAAGACTTCCGCTTCACTCCGCCATTTCCGAGCACTCCACAGAGAACAGAGCCACACGCTGCAGCGCAGGCACACGCTGCCACCCGTACAAGGATCACATACGTCCCTCAGTCCCCAAAAACACAGACCAGGCATCGTGTGAAACACCCACGCTCGCCAAACCTCTGGGAGTAAGTGGTCCTACTCCAGTGGCCTACTCCAGGACTACACCTGGAGACAAGAGCAGTTTAAATTCTTGAGTACAAGTAGCCCAATACCCTACCAGCACCCTGAGAGACGCCTGGGAATGGAGGACTTACACGGGACGTGTTTCTAGATCTCGGTAGTCACTCACCTTGATGATAGGTGGAGCGATAGCTAGGTATTTATCTCCGTTGTGATAGGTGATAGACTCCTGCCCAATGATGATCGCGCCTCCAAAAGGCTCTGGCACTGTGCAGGGGAGAAGACAAATGTCTTATTAGAGAACCCGCGCAGCACGACTGAGGCATTCAGCCTTGAGAAAGAACCGGGAGGGGAGATCTTTTACAAAGAAGGACCAACCTGCGATGACCATGGAGGCTTCAGCCTCCACGTTCTCCTGTTTCCAAGGACCTTTGTTAAACTCCTTCTCGCGCAGGGACACCTCGTACGTCTTGACGTGGCGACCCTGAGGGTCCTGAAAGAGAAGCCACAGATGACGACGTACGCTGACGACAGCCTCGCGTGCGCAGCGACAGAGGCTCCAGAAGCAGAGCTGACTAGCAACCTGCGAAGCAAGGGGACTCCACCTCACCTCCTGCAAGAGCACCGTCACCAGCGAGCTGCTGAGGCTTCCCACCCCGCCCACCTCCTCTTCGGTCTCTCTCAAACCACACACGTGTCTGAACATACGCGCACTAATGTTCTCCCTAACTTTATCCATATGTTGAGCAACCTTTGAATAAAGCCCTGTGCCAAAAAAAGACTGAAAACTATTTTTGTGTTTTTATACAAGTGATTTTCTGGGACTCATATTCATCTGACGCACAGCTCTACAAATCTGGGCATGAGTGGCACTACGCAGTACCGCCACCGCCTCCAGCTCCAGCAAGGCGTTCAGGAATTCAGCTCTGCTGTAGCGGCGCAGGTGCCAGAGCAGCTGAGCTCCCGTCTCGATGCTCCTCAGGCCTTTCAGCCTGGTTTCCCGAGGAAACATAATCTGCTTGCCGAATAATCCCCCGACGGCTCTGCCGTCCCAGTAATTCCTAGCCCAGTGGGCAATTTCAACCAAACCTGACACACACAGAAGTCTCCGAGGCAGCGAGTCCACGCAGGCTTCACCGAAACAAGCGGTGGGTGGAAAAGAGGCCCCCCCCAAATCAGCACCCCGCTACGGGAAAGGTGGTCTACGCTAACAAGCGCTTGGGAACCCGCATGGGGAGAAGACGTATGAGCACCCAAAGCAGAGAGAGGGCTTTGAACATAACCCACTGACCAATTTCACGTCTCAAAAGCTAAGACAAGGCTCTAAACCACAGGGAGCCAGGTTTCCTAAGTCACGTTGTTCACAGAACTACTCAAAAAGAGCTGTTCATCTTTTGATTTATTATGCCCCACCGCTTTCCAGATCTGAGTAAAAGCGGGGTTTGTTTTTCCCCCCCCCCCCTCCCTGTGGCTGCCAGCTCTGTAACCAAACACTCGCAGGAAAGCTGGGCACCTCCTGGCTCACCCCTCACAGCCTCCGCCGCTTGGCAAACATCCTCACCGACGGCGCTCCGGAGCCCGAGGTCCTGGCGAGAGCCAGCGGCGCAGCACCGAGGGAAGCAAAGAGCAGTACTGGCTGACAGAGAAGGGGAAGCCAGGAGGAGAAATAGCTCCGCGGGGAGGAGAAAGTTGAAGTGGGGCTGTTAAAATGGCAGAGGAGTCATCAATGAAACTTTTGACATTTCTGGACCTTTTCACTCCACGCCACAGCAGCTCTCAAGCCTTTTTTTATCGTTATGAACTTCCCCTTTTTGCGGTATCTTCTTCTGGTTTCAGAACCACACAAAAATTCTCTCAGACACTGCTATTCTATTCAGTCCAAACCCTGTGATAATGATTAATAAATTAAGAAGGAATCAAAGCAGCAGCTTGGAAACGTTCCCCTCTCCACATACACGCAAGTCAGACACCCAGGGACCAAAACAAAGCCAGAGTTTTATGTAAGGCCTAATGAGTCAGACAGAACTTGTATCTCCCTCCTGCTGCAAGTCAAATCTAGAAATACGCAATAAGCCAGCCGCCCTTAGCGCGTATTTCTAGAGCAAAGACTGGCTACGAGCGTCCCTTCCGACGCCACGTTTCAAAGTCAGCGCGGCTGCGTGGGATAAAAATACGGTCCCCACGTACGCTCCCCGGTCACACGGAAACAAGGCGGCCACGCGTTGTAAAAGCGCGCACGACACAGCCCTCCCGGTCAGGCTCCACTCCGTCGTACGAGGGATCACGGCTCCCCTCTCCCCTAAATAGGAGAAGAACGGCAGTGCTTTTGGTAAGAAAACGGTGCTTGTTCCTACGCATTCGCTGAAAATCCTTTGCTTTTTCAGGTGGAGCCTCTTAATCAAACCCCTCCCTGTTTTCTTCCTCTTTTTTTTCTTTGTGCACACCGTTAAATCGTCACGCAAGCGCCTGCGAGGTGGGCGGGATACGCGGCGGCTGGGGACGCTTCCCGGCAAGGCTGGAGAGAGCACGCTGACGTTCGTTCAGGTGACAAGGGAGAGCACCAGCTACCCACAGGGCAGGGGAAGAGCACTGTCCCGACACGGGGGGAACCCGGGCTGCCCTCCCAACCCCCAGTTACACGGTGACAAAGTGATTTCTGCCCCGTGCCTTTGCTCAGTAACTGTCAGGGGGGCGTTCAACAGCACCCAGATAGGGAACAATCAAGTCACTGCTGCCACGTGGTTAGTAGCTCTTACGGTATGAGTTTGCCGCTAAGAACCACGCCGAAGCTGAACCAAATTCACAGCAGATCCTGTGCGCTGCCGTCTCAGGAACTTTCAGCTAGGCCCAGGCTAGCCCGGAATTCGACAAAGCAAAGATAATCCCTCGCCCAGTCAGCACAGCAAAGGCTCTTTGGTTCAAAATAAGCGTTTAGAGAAGGGCCTGCAAACGCTGCCTCTGTGAGGACCCAGGCGACAGGAGAGGTTACGGCCCCTCTTTACGCTCCTGGAGCGGCCTCCCAAATACCAAACAAGAAATATTGCCTTTTTTTTTTTTATTATTTTTTTAAGGGGAACATACTGCCTTTTTTTTTTTATTATTTTTTTAAGGGGAAGGCTCAAGTCTCACAGCAGTGCTACAAGAAACAACTGACTCTGGCTCTAATCCACCCGCTCAGCACTCGCTGGAAAGACCCAGGCACTCCTCCTGAGTGTTTAACAAGGAAAAGGTCCCATCCGAAGCATCAGCTGCCCAGCTCTCGGGTGGGAGGGCGTTGCTTCCTCTCTCCCAGAAATGGAAAAAAAAAGCAGCACAGAGGAACACGGACTTTCCTCGGCTACACAATGAGCCTGCAGGAGCCAGAACCGTCTCTCACCCTGTCCAAAGCACTGCTTTCCGTTGGCTCCAGGACACTGCTGCTGCTCCAGGTCCAAGGAAGGCCTTTAGAGACCTTGGCTGGTGCACCAGCAACCTCCAGCACCCTCCGCCCGAGTCACCAATCGAGAACAAGGTACCTGGTAGACGAAGCAGATGGTTGGAGCCTGACAGCCATAGAGAAACTTCACATCGATGACCTGGAGCTCTTCCAGGCGGATGTTAAAAGCCTTTAACTCCTTGTTCTCCCGGTCCAGGGGAATGACCTTGAAGAGGCCATCATAGAGCCGCAGGCCGATCATCCGGCACTCTGGGTCAATGATGCCAATTATGCCGGTCTCTGAGGGACGACCGATGCGATCCTGAGCGAGAGATCCGCGGAGAGGGGAAAAGAGAAAGGGCAATTAGCATTAGAAAAAGATCCCCGTGGAGGACTTGGGAATAGTAGGTACAAGAGTTACCACCCTTCGGCTGAGGAAGGGCTCCCTGCACACCTCCCAGCAGGCTTTAAAATACCACCTGGCAAGCCAAAGGCGAGTCAGGCATCTCCTGCCTAAAGCAGCAGGTCCTTTCCACCCAAGAGCCTGGCAGAACTCCCACGGCACACACCTCCTCTCTCCCGGGAACCAGGCGCTCCAGGAGCAGACCCTGCAACTGGTTTTCTAATCCCAACTCTCTACTGAACGGCCTCAAGAGAAGCCGCACCGCTGCCCCGCGCCTCCGCTTTCTGTCGCTGACGGAGAGCGATGCCCTCCGCTGCTGTGAAGTGCTTTGATATCCATGACCCAACATCAGCCTCCAGAAATCCAGCCCTGTTTATCAGCCTCCACAGACCCCTCGGCGTTACTCGGCGGGGGCCGATATCAGCGTCTCCATACGTCACGAGGCAGAACCTCGGCACGGGAAGATTAAACACTTTTCCCCAAACACTCTTAACGCATTACTGACAGGACGTGCCCACCTACGTCTCCTGCCCGTAACCCCCTGCTCAGCTTCACCAACAGTAAGTCAGCAGAAGCTCAGTGCCTGGAAACAGATGGAAGATATTTTGGCTTGGCAGCTGATGGGAATCATTTGGCTAATGACTAACAAAAAGCCAGGGAGACGTGCGGATTTCTGACCTGCTCAGAAGGCGTGATTTTAATCCACGTAAAACAGAACAATGGAGAACGTCTACAATGGTAAGAGTAGCTTCAGCAGTCAAGCTTCTGGTATGCAACGTGGAGAGACCAGCCACGAAATACCGGAGGAGTCATTTCCCAGGGAAAATTCTACCTTACCTTGAGTTTTGAGCGCTAATTCTCCTTGCAGCGGGAGTACCTCAAATTAACCTTGCTATCCTGCAAACTACCCCGAGAACACAGCTGTAGCCGTGGCCTCAGTCCCTGAGCCCGAGACTGACTCACTGCAGGCAAAAACCTCTGGAAACACCAGTGGCAGCAGGTGAACCATACCGGAGTCGGCGGTAGGCAAAGAATCATAAATAACAAGGCCAAACCCCGTCACCTAGGCACATCCTCGTCACCAGCAAAGTAAAACCACCCCTAAGGAAGGGAATTCGCCCCTTCCAGGTGCTGCGGCTTCACTCACCTGCACGTTGCCGTGGGCACGGGTTATAATATCAATGCTGTCCCCGTTCTGCTTGTACTCGAGGATGCAGGCGTTATACTTGGCTGTCAGGATGAACAACAAATCCTTGCTCTCCCCCTGCCAAAGCAGAGCGGCGGCGTGCCTTCAGGAGGGCGTCAGAGCCAGCGGCCCCGGCGCGCCCGCGCCTGCCCTCCCCAGCTGGCAGGCGGCCCCCTCCCCGCAGCGCACCCACCTTGGGGCGGAAGAGCTCCATGACGGCGGTCTTGCCGTACATCCCCACCTCCTTGACGGGCCGCAGCCCCTCCGCTGTCACCACGTAGATCTCCAGCCGCGTATTCTTGGCGATCAGCAGGTTCAAATCCTCCGCCGAGGTGAAGTGCCCTGGAAAAAAGGAGAGAAGAAATCACCGCTGAGCCGCAAAGAAGCGACGAGGCGGCACCTTGGGGTGCTCTCACTGAACAACCTGCAGGAGTCTGCTCATTCTAAGGGGGGGTCTGGCCCGCAGCCCCACAGCCTCAGACCGAGCACCAGCCTCCCTGTGGCAACCCCCCCCGGCCGCGGCATCCCGACACCCCCGCACCACACCCCCACC